CTCTCCGCCCCCTCCCCACAGCCCCATCCCCATCCCCCATCTCCCCATCCCCTGCATCCAGCTAATCCCGAACGCACCTCTCTGCCATCTCTCCCCTATAGCCCTGTCTACCCACCCACTGATCTCCCCCACCCCCACAGCCCCATATACCTATCTGTCCCTCCCCTGACCCCTCTACCTATCTCTGTCTAGCCAGCCAACCTCCACCCATCTAACCCTGAACACACCTCTCTGCCTCTTCGTCCCCCACAGCCTTCTATCGCCCCACCCACCGGTCTCCCCACAACCCCTCTACTCGTCCATCCCTCCCCTCACACGCATCTCTCTGCCCGCCCGCACCTGTCCATACACCCACCTACCAGCTATCTACCCCCTCGGCTACCCATCCGTCCCCTTCCCCACCTATCCAACCCCTGTGCCTCTCGCCGTCCATCTAACCCCCCATCCCTCTACCTACCTACCAACCCATCCCACACAGCCCTCTGAGCAGTAAGCCAATCACCCCCAGGAACCTATCTACCCTCCCCCACTCCTCTCTAGGTATCCACCTGTCCCTTTCTGTTCCTTCATCCACCCACCATCTAGCCCCATATGCCTCTATCTACTGATCCCCCTACCTCGCAGGTACGATTCCCCCATCCCCACTTCTCTACCCATCCATCTCCTCTCTATCCGCCTATCCATCCACTCACCCGCCCTCTACCTATCCATCCCCATACGCGTCTCTCTATCCCTCCATTCCACCGGCCCTATATTCCCACCCTCCATCTACCTATCGATTCATCCCCCACCCGCTATCCCTCCAACCCTGTATCGCCACCCTCCATCTACCTATCGATCCATCCCCCACCCGCTATCCCACCGACCCTGTATCCCCACCCTCCATCTACCTATCGATTCATCCCCCTCCCTTTATCCCTCCATCCCACCGACCCTGTATCCTCACCCTCCATCTACCTATCAATCCATCCTACCAACCCTGTATCCCCACCCTCCATCTACCTATTGATTCATCTCCCACCCTCTATCCCTCCTGCCTCCCCATTTACCCCATGGTCACCTCTCTATCTACCCATCCCCCCACCCTCTATCCCTCCAGTTGCCCCATCTACCCATCCCATCTATCTAACCCCATATGCACCTCTGCATCCAATAACCCCACACTCCTCTATTTATCCATCCATCCCCTACCCACCATCTATTTATCCCCATTTGCACCTTTCTACCCCATCTCCCACACCCCTCTATCCACCTACCCCCTCTATCTCCTTACTCATCCATCCTCCACACCCTTCTAGCTATCCCCAAATGCACCTTTCTAGCCATTTAGCCTCCACCATCTACCTCCATACACACCTCACTCTCCACCCCCTCCCCTTGGTCTACCTGTCCGGCCACCTTTCCATGCCCATACCCACCCCGGTACCCATCCATGCCTGCACGCATCCCTGCATCCATCCGTGTCTGTGCACCCCCCTGTACCCATCCATGCCCGTACTCACCCCTGCACCCATCCATGTCCAAACACATCCCTGTACCTATCCATGTCCATATGCACCCACCCCTGCACCCATCCATGTCTGTGCTGCCCCCTGCACCCATCCATGCCCGCATGCACCCCCCTGCACCCATCCATGCCCTGTACCCATCCATACCTGTACGCATCCCTGCACCCATCCATGCCCACATGTACCCCCCTGCACTCATCCATGCCCTGTACCCATCCATGCCTGTACGCACCCCTGCACCCATCCAGCCATCCATCTCCCCCCATGCATCTAACGTACAAACACGGGCTTCTTTTTCTTCCAGGGCCACAAGCTAGGTCTGTCTCTCCCTGTGGCATTTTCTCCTTCTCCGCATCCACACATCCCTTTCCATCCCCTTCCACAGCTAGGGGCCGTCTTCCCACAGCCACACACTCACACATGTGGCACATACGTGTCCACACGGACAGCCTCACAGAGGGAATAGTTTGCATGCCAAGAGGTACAGAGAGGGAAGGTGAGGGGGAAATTCTGTATTCCAGAGACACACAGAGGAGCATATCTGATTATTTAGGAGAAACACAAACACTATTAACGTCTATTTCAGCCGTGCGTGCACACACACACACACACACATGCACAAATTGTGTATGCCAGGGAGATACGTTAATTGATACAAACTGTCTATTCCCGAGGTACATACGCACAGTGATAGATAATTTTGTCAATATTCCAATAGCACACGCGTGCGCTCACACAAATTGTGTAAACCAGAGATATAAATGGACAGAGATAAAATATCAGCATCCCGGTGGCAGAACACACTGATCACATTTATATCTCAGTCTGAAATACACACAGATCAAATGGTGCATACTGAAGGTCCACACACTAGTCCGGAGATACAGACACACAAATAAAAATTGTGCATTCCAGAGGCACACACAGAGCAGGGCTCATCCCCTCCAACAGGAGGCAGCACACACACACACACACACACACACACCATCAAATTGTGGCTTCCATTTGCAAACAGAAATAAGATTGTACATCCCTCTTGGAGATGTGCAGTCTGAGAGAGAAAATCGTGTATCCCAGAGTCTGAGTCACACAGAGAGCAAAGTGTGCATCCCCTGCGGTCACCCCCTCCTCCCACAGCACAAATTGTGCATCCCAGTCTAACACACACAGCGATTGAATTGTGCAGCCCAGAGCTGCACAAGACGCACAGATAAGTCGGTGCACCCTAGTGTTTCACACGCAGAGCAAATTGTGCACCGAGAGGCAAACCCCCCAAGGTGCGCGCGCGCACACACACACACACACACACACACACACACAGTGCCCCCCTAGGTGCGCAGACACGCACACACTCCCTCCGTGTACCCAGACACACATACAAACCTGAGGGGTGCGCGCACACATACACTTCCCCCTCCCGTGCACACACACGCACCCCCCCAGCCACACCCCCC